AGACGGGAGCCGAGGGTGATGAATTTGGAGGCCGCCTGGTGTCACTTTACTTATTCTTTTAGATATTGTCAATGATAAACTCCTGTCCTGCAGAGTGGGCTTCAAAACACATTTACTTCACCATCATTCACAGGCTGTCGACTGGGAATAAAGCAACTTGGAGAGGATGAGAATGACAAAGCACTGCAAGACCTTACTGGAGAACAAACTCTCAGCTGCACTTTATACACATTATGAGAATAATCCCTAAATAATTCTTACCCATTTTGTTCCATGAGGGTTTTTTTTATGTAGAATTTCTTCTTGCAGCTCTTTTACACACAACAGTTACCATTAAAAAAACAAAAATAAACGGCAACACTTTACAATAAGGTCTCATTTGTTAACATTAATAACGAACAATAACTATTTTTATATCATTTATTGAGCTTTTTTAATGTTAGTTCACCAAGCATTAACTAATCTTAAATAAAACATTTGATTTGAAAAATGCAGATTGAGATTAACCTTAAGATTAATAAATGCAGTAGAAGTATTATTCATTGCTAGTTCATGTTAACTATTGTAATTAACTAATAGTAACAGATGAAACCTCACTGTAAGGTGTTACCAAATAAAGAAAACCATAAAAGTGGCCCATTACTAAATGCACTATATAAATTGTCAATATTTGGGATTAATGCTGGTGCGCCATTTTAGAATCTGACTGCAAATGAGATTTAATAAGAGCAGGATTCCCAGAAAATAACTTATTTTTCAGTTTTGTAGCGCATGATATAGTACATAAAAATTGCAAGGACTAGTTTTATGGTTTTTTTTTGTTGTTGTCATTTTTATCTATAAACTGTCATATGAATATAAATAAATAACATAATTTACATTTAATCATTTAGCACACATTTTTATCCAAACATCACATGCAGTTTATCAGAATACAATTGGAACAACATGAGTAAGTAATAACAGAATTATATTTTTATTTAACTTAATCCCAGTAGAATGGAACAAATGAACCTCCAGTTTTAACCAATCATCTAGTCACATGGCATTTATGCCTCAGGTGATTGGCTAAAAAAAGACGTGGAACTGAATTCAGATTCCAAAACACACACTATAGTCTTGCGGCCAATGAATTAACAACAAACTCACTAAGAAACACACTGCAGACACCAAAAGCAGCGCAGCTAATGTCTGAGAATATAAACGGCTTCTCACTTCAAAAATGTAGTTAGAAATCTGCAGACTCACCATCATCACTACCTGTGCGTTACGGTATATGAGAAGACCCCTGATCATAAGCGTTGCAAACAGGGAATGACCATTATAATTGCAATATCCTGACCACAGTTCACAATTACGTTGCACATAAAGGTATGAAAAGACATTAACCCTGCTCATTAAAACCAGCCCTTTTTCAATACACATGAAGCTGATGAAGCCCTTTGTCATTGTAAATCACTAAAGCTCTCGGGGTCGGGGACGTGTTCTTTGAACCTGAAATTGCAGTGAAAGGACATAAAACTGGCCCCTGAGCAGATCCCAGCAAAACCAACTGGTTTTAAAGTCACAAGCCCAGATTTTCTCTTTTGGTCTTAAAGGGATAGTTCACCCAAAAATGAAAAGCATGTCATCATTTACTCACCCTCAAGTTGTTCCAAACCTGTATACATTTATTTCCAAATGACTTCCATAGTATTTTTCTTCCATACTATGAAAGTCAATGGGGCCCAGGGCCTATTTGACGCCTAATTGACAATATCTTCTTTTGTGTTCAGCAGAAGAAAGAAACTCATATGCTTTCACTCAAAAGCTGAATTTTCAGCATCATTACTCCAGTCTTCAGTGTCACATGATCCTTCAGAAATCATACTAATATGATAATTTGCTGCACAATAAATATTTATGATTATTATCAGTGTTGAAACAGTTGTGCTGCTTCATATTTTTTGGAGATAATGTGATGCATTTTTTTTCAAGAATTCTTTGAAGAACAGAATGGGAAGTTCAAAAGAACAGCATTTATTTTAAATAGAAATCTTTTGTAACATTATAAATGTTTTTTTTACGGTCACTTTGGATTAATATAATGCATCCTCACTAAATAAAAGCATTACCTTTACAATGCGAATGTTAAAATACATTGAACACTTAAGCAAGTTAAATTGTATTTTTGGTCTTGTTTATATAAAATGAAATACTAAACTCTAATTAGTTCTATTAACATTAGATGTTTAAACCTAAAAGAAATCACTAATATGAATGTCTTTCTACGCTCTCAGTAATAATATGGCATGATTTTCCAAATAACACGGCAATAAGTTCCTTAAAACAGTATAACATGCTAAAGGAACACTAAGGTCATGGGTTTGATTCCCATGAACGCTAAATAGTCGCTAGAAAATAACCTGTTAAATGCATAAATGTAAATGCAGTTAGGGTGAGGAAAAGCTGCTGTTCATTCGCTGTAGTCGAATCAATCTGAACTCCTACAGGTTTATGCAAAACCTTTGTTTGAGATCTAATCTCTTCTCAATAAACTCCGAGTGCGAGTCCATTTCTCATGCGGATAACTGGAGAGGAAGTTGTCAGAGACACACAGTGAATCACTGTCTTAGTTAAACAGATAGACTCATTTTTATGTCAGTCATTTTCAAACTTGAAATTCATAATATGCAAATGAAACATCAAGCCACACGTCCGAGTTACTGCTACACCACCATGATGATTCAACGAGAGGACACGTTCCCACCTTGGGAAAATGATGACCATTCATTCCCACTCATGCCCTAGATGCCACTCAACCACCAAGAAACTAAAGTGTACTTCATTATGACTAAGTGTCACCAACTCTTCCCAAACCGCCCACAGTGAGATCTCTAACCCTGGATGTGTTGATATGTGCTGACAGAACTACAGTGAAGTCCAAAAGTCTGAGACCACTAGTCAAAATAATGCGGATTTTTCTGATTGAATGCAACTTTTTTTGCATTGCAAATTATTTTCTCAGCATAAAAATGTAAGTAGAAAACATCCCTGGAGCTACACCTTCACCTAATGATCATCTTCTCCAGCATGATTTGAGTTCTTGAGCTTCAGTGAAATCAAGAACCTGACCTTTCGCGAAAAAGCAGTCTTAAATTTGACTCTTTTTACATCATAACCTTTTCTTGTTTTACATTTTTGTTTATGTGCGTTTCAGACTTTTGGACTCAATTGTACGTGTATTCACCTCATGCCATTTCGTATGAACAATTAAAATGATCAAAAGATAGATCCTGATGTTGATTGAATGTACTGTAAATGCCAGAAAAGAATAGAAAGATCCACTAGCTTTACACACGACCAAATCTAATAGAAAATATTTAACAGCAAGTGCAATTCAAAAAGTCAAACGCAGGGCTTGAACATTATGAGATGCATTTGTGAATTCTGGATAAATGGCGCTGTTAAATTAAACCAATTTGACTCATCGTGACTGCTGTCATTTGGTAATGGCGTCGTATTTGAAATTGAATACCGCTCATGAAGATTTGTCAGTTCTCAGGACAAAACAAGCATAAGAATGAACATGAGTCACAGGAATTAGATACAAACTGATGCTATTGCTATGACATAAAATAAAACATAAGATGAAAAAAAAACAATTCTATTGCCGTAGTACAGCGATTTCTTATCAAATACGTATATCTCATATTAAACATAAAAAGGTGCACAGCATAGTACTGTTTAACTACACGCTGATCTACTAAATATATATAAAGAATTGTGAAAATGAATATGCAATATGGTGAATACATATTAGAAGTTCAATATATTGAATATTTAGGGCTATAGGGCTGAATACAAATGATTTGACAATTAAATAAATTATATAAAAAATGAAATGTTAGATAAATGCAATAGTACAGGTTTGTCTGACCATCAAAGCTAAAAAAATTCAAGCTAATTTGTACCATCATGTTTTATGAATGTTCGATGGGAACACACTGCACCAAACAACGCAGAAGAAGATATTTTTAAGAACAAGAACAACCTTGGACCCCATTAACTTTCATTTTATGGACAGAAGAAAACACACATTTAACGACATTTAAGCACATGGTTGTGTGTGAACAGACTCTAAATCCACCTCAAGGACAAACACAACTGAATTAATGTGTGTTGCCTGCAGGCCCGCATAATGATCAAAATAAACAATATATTGATTTCTAAAGTCACTTTTATCCATTCAATGCTTTCCCACAATAACATTTTGCCATTGTTTACTCATCCTCATGCTGTTCCAAACTGACTTTCTGACTTTCTTTCCTCTGCAAAACACAACAGAAGATATTCTGAAGGACGCAGGGAACCGAACGACATTGGACCCCATTGACTTTCATTGCAAAGACAAAAACACACTGAGACGTTGTTTAAAATATCTCCTTTGCATTCCACCGAAGAAAGAAAGTCATACAATTTTGGGAATCAAACTGTCCCTTTAAATTTTCATCATTTAAGTGCTTTCCTGAGCAAATATTTTCAAACAATTGTGAGTACTTTGATTACTAAATCTGCATATCATATGCATTAATATTATTTTAAATAAGCCCTATAACATCGTACAATATATAAGAAAATATTATGAACAGAAATATGCAGCAGAAAAAAAAATGCACTAAGGTGGATGATGGTTATGCACTGAAATTTCCACCGATATTATTTAATCTTCTCTCGTTCGTGCTCAGTCCACAAGCTGCAATCTTACTAGCCCTGATCTGATTTGGGCAGCCCGTACTAGCGCAGTACTTCACTGACTCACAGGACACACGTCCACTGCGTGTTTCTGTTCACGCAAACACAACATCCCCTTCAAGCTAATCTTTGATTGGTTAAAAACCTGCATTCAGAACATCCTTTCGCCCGCATTCTCGGATTAAACTTCCACCACAACAAAACAAAACTGCAAAAAGCAGAAAAAGAAAACAGCATGCACACCAACACTAGTTGGGAATACTTACCGTAGTTCATCTGTAGTTGGGAGTGTTCATGCTGTCTAGGAATGAAAGATTCTTTCTCTTTTACTATAAAAGGAGAAGGAAAAATGCAGTCTGCGTTCCAACTCTATCTGATCCCTCAACAGGCTCTGGAGCTTCTGGAGTGCTGGCGGCACATTTGATGATATGAGCAACAGGCTTCAGCTCCCTCCCTCTTTACACACACATCAACAGCTCTGACATCAGAGGTGGGATGTGCCATTATTCTAAGAGCTTTTGAGAGATATCCATAGCAACCAACCACCGAAAGAAGGATCCCTTCTTTCCGAGCAGGAATTGCCAAGTGTCTTTGAACTGACAGGCACATATGCATCCCCTTCAGCGCGGAGTGATTTTCAGAGGATTTCATTGTGTCATTATCATTTAGATGGCTCTACATCAGCTCAACATGCTGGAGAACTGCACACATTACAGCAGGCAATGGGAGAACAAAAATTGGAAGTTTCTGTTGTTCCCAATTGGAATCCAAATTGACTAGGGCTGCCCCCTAATAGTCGATTAATCGTTAGTAGATGAGTTGAGGCGTAGCCGACCAACATTTTAATAGTCGGTTAGTTCATCACATTCATAGACGTCAAATATGACTTATTATTTGAAACGTAAGTATGCAACTTTACTTTGCCGCTTGCTCTAATGTTCACCTAGATAAATGTGACGCATGTCTAAGTGTTTGTGCGGAGTGTGTAAGCTAAAATATTACCATGCTTACTGCATGACATGGAGGCGCTAGAAAAATCTTTAGTTGGGGGCAGTCCTAAAATTGACCTAATCTTCTTCAAAGAAATATTCCAGGTCAAATCGACAGCATTTAAGCCATGATGTTGACCACATTTGTAATTTACACTTGTTCCTTTACCTTACTATATACCTTTTCTCTGGAAAGTTACAGCCCTATATTTTACTTCGTCGCTATGATTATAAATGAAACAGCTTTTCAGCTCAAATAGTACACAAGTTTTAACAGAAGTGTTTTATAAGATTTTATACTACAGGGCTGTTGAATGCTTGAATCTGATTGGTTGACGAAAGTGTGCAATTATTTTCACGGCTAAAGTAGTTCCAGGCAGGTTTTGACCGCATTACAGTTTCATATCACTTCTCCAAATGATTTCAGTTATTTCAAAGGTCCTTACAGCCTACAACAGCAAAAGAACCGAAACCCACAACGACACTGACCAAGCAAATAAATATAGTAAACAATAGGATAAGAAATTATCAATTATTTCCATGTTTTTGAACACAAAATTATATTTTATAATGTACGGAAACGGAAAGCACATACTCTCTCCCATCACTCAAACGCACACACATAGGTTGTCAGCGCTGCTCTGACGATGTTATCAGTAAAATAGTTTAACATTTTAAAAGCTACACTGTAAAAAAAATCTGTAGAAATTACAGTATTACTGGCAGCTGCTTGCCAGTAACTTACTGTAGTTTTAAATTGATGTTATTTACTGGCAACAGTTTGTTCAAAGTTAAATGAACATTAAACATTAGCAAGTCTTTATCTTTACAGAATAAAACTAAAATAACAACCTCATACAAAGCATTCTGGGAACCAAAATCTGAAGGAAAAAAAACAAAAAAAGGTTGATGAAGATTTCTGGTTCCCAGAATGCTTTGCATTAGATTGTTATTTTATAATTTTATTCTGTAAAGACAAAGACTTGTTAATGTTTAATGTTCATTTAACTTTGAACAAACTGTTGCCAGTAAATATACATCAATTTAAATCTACAGTAAGTTACTGGCAAACAGCATTTTTTTTACAGTGTACATGACATTTCAGCCCGTTCTCATCCCAAGGCGTCAGACAGGTGACGCTTTTGACATTTCAACTGCATTAGTCTTCTATAAGTGCCTCAAGCCTCCATTACTAGCTCTAAAATGACTTTTGGAATTAGCAACGGAGACGTGGGAGGAGATGCGTAAGAAATCGGTCCTACACACAAGAGTGTTCTAAGGACAAAAACCTGACAAATGTCATACAACATCTGAACAATGTCTTGAAGTGTGGTAAGTGGTAACCATATATAAGTGGAATAATTGAATTAAAAGAAACATTATGCCAAAAATGTTGCTGATTAAGCTGATACTGTGAACGATTCATCTGTGAAGAAACAGTGTGTGCACTGTGAAGAAAAAAATCATAATCTCTAAATAAAAAATAAAAATACTTGCTCCAATTTTTTTAATGACTTTCCTTACCAGACCCCTAATTTTATAACTCCAGCTTCCAAATACCTGTCAAATGTGCATTAGAACTTCAAATAAAGTTTAATTGTAATAGTTATATCAGTAAGTCTCAAGTGATATGTCAGTAAATATGTTAATGGTTTGTAGTATACTTAAATAAATGTATTTGAAATACATTTTGGAATAGTTTTTTTTTCTCTAGGGATTACATGCTGCCAATGCCGCTGTGAAAAAAAGCAGAATAAACAAAAAAAGCGAAACTATTTTGTTTTACAACCCACAGCTTTAGGAGAATTACCATTTAGAGTATTAATATGTTAATATACAAGCAACCCTAATGGTTCCTTTTAACCCATTTCATTTACAAAGAGTACAGTATCTCACAAACCAGCTGTCAGGAGATGATAAATGTTATTAAGCGTTTGTCATCCACAAACAGAACATCTGACAAATCCTCTTAGAAGACCAAGAAGGGAAAGAGTTTAAAAAACGGAACAATTATTAGAGATGAACAGTGTTCGGTATGCTCGGCACGCATGACGAATAGCCACAGGGCATTATCTCTGAATGCCTGTGTTAGCGGCCCCCATTTCCTATTGATCCACCTGTGTTGACCAGATACCAGATACTCTGTGTGGCAGCCGACACCGGACTTTAAAAATCAGCAGCCACCAATTACTCTCAGACCATGGGTAATAAGTCTTATGGAGACAGTTCAAACAGCGTAAGTGGAGCTAGCTTTTACAGCACATTTTTAATGGATTTCTTTGATTTTTCTTCAGAAACAAAATAAATACAGATAAACGATCTTTTTGCATGGCTGGTTGCTCGAAGTCTGATCACGTAGAACATGATCATGAATTGAGGTATATTATTCATGTCTGTTGCACAAATGGTGGAGGACAAGTTACACACCAAAGTGTAATACGGTACATATGAGGAGTTTTGCAAAAAAAAGTTGCTAAGGCAAGCTCTACTAATACATAATAACATCTCCTGAAGAGGGAAAGAGGAAAACAAATTCTTATTTCTTCTCACAGCACCAAGGAGAATTGAATCAATACCGTAAGATGAATTATCCATGTTCTAAATAATCAGAGACTTGTTCGGCTGCCTCGAGCCACCGGTGAGTGAAGGAACAGAAAATTGCTGAGACAGAGGCAATAATAGAGGTGACAGGTCAAGTCATTGCAAGCTATCATTGAGATGAACACCTCTGGGCTACTAATGCGTCACATGAGCCTTACAATAATGATATCACGGTTTATCAAAGAGATCCGATCAAAGTTTACAGCAACTTCTGCAACTCTAATAAAAAAGAAATCTTTGTCTTTTTCTCTACATCACGTTGCTCCAAACCCGTATGACTTTCTTCTGTCCCATCTGGGGGGAAAAATATAGAGAATGATCCGAAAAATATTAAATATTCAGTGAGCGGCAGTTCTGTGGGCAAATATGCCATGTTGATGTCACAACACACCAAACCTTGAAGCAGAAGAGCATCTCTGAACACACAACACACCAAACCTTGAAGCAGAAGAGCATCTCTGAACAAAACACACCAAACCTTGAAGCGGAAGAGCATCTCTGAACACACAACACATCAAACCTTGAAGCAGAAGAGCATCTCTGAACACACAACACATCAAACCTTGAAGCAGAAGAGGATCTCTGAACACACAACACACCAAACCTTGAAGCAGAAGAGCATCTCTGAACACACAACACACCAAACCTTGAAGCAGAAGAGCATCTCTGAACAAACAACACACCAAACCTTGAAGCGGAAGAGCATCTCTGAACACACAACACACCAAACCTTGAAGCAGAAGAGCATCTCTGAACACACAACACACCAAACCTTGAAGCAGAAGAGCATCTCTGAACAAACAACACACCAAACCTTGAAGCAGAAGAGCATCTCTGAACACACAACACATCAAACCTTGAAGCAGAAGAGCATCTCTGAACACACAACACACCAAACCTTGAAGCAGAAGAGCATCTCTGAACAAAACACACCAAACCTTGAAGCGGAAGAGCATCTCTGAACACACAACACATCAAACCTTGAAGCAGAAGAGCATCTCTGAACACACAACACATCAAACCTTGAAGCAGAAGAGGATCTCTGAACACACAACACACCAAACCTTGAGGCAGAAGAGCATCTCTGAACACACAACACATCAAACCTTGAAGCAGAAGAGCATCTCTGAACACACAACACACCAAACCTTGAAGCAGAAGAGCATCTCTGAACAAACAACACACCAAACCTTGAAGCGGAAGAGCATCTCTGAACACACAACACACCAAACCTTGAAGCAGAAGAGCATCTCTGAACACACAACACATCAAACCGAAGCAGAAGAGCATCTCTGAACACACAACACATCAAACCTTGAAGCAGAAGAGCATCTCTGAACACACAACACATCAAACCTTGAAGCAGAAGAGCATCTCTGAACACACAACACACCAAACCTTGAAGCAGAAGAGCATCTCTGAACAAACAACACACCAAACCTTGAAGCGGAAGAGCATCTCTGAACACACAACACACCAAACCTTGAAGCAGAAGAGCATCTCTGAACACACAACACACCAAACCTTGAAGCAGAAGAGCATCTCTGAACACACAACACATCAAACCGAAGCAGAAGAGCATCTCTGAACACACAACACATCAAACCTTGAAGGAGAAGAGCATCTCTGAACACACAACACACCAAACCTTGAAGCAGAAGAGCATCTCTGAACACACAACACACCAAACCTTGAAGCAGAAGAGCATCTCTGAACACACCAAACCTTGAAGCAGAAGAGCATCTCTGAACACACAAC